GAGTTTAGTTGCCGTGTTTCTGCACATTGTTGTGTGAAGAAAGCGTCCACAAAATGAGTTCATTTAGAGCCTCGCAGACACATTCATGTGCAGATAGCCTATAAGTCGTAATATTAACGTTATGTTGTATAAATAACGAAGCGTATTCTATATGAGATAAATGAGTTAAATCCCATTGATTAAAAACCTGCTATCAAATACTTCATTCTACTGGCCATCTTCAGCGCGGGCAGCTGAAAACAGAAATGCAGAACATTAATAACTACTGTCATATACATAACGTTATCATGAGAGCACTATTGTAAAAAGTGTTGTGAATTCTTAGGGTTTCGCTGACGTTTAATGTTAACTACCTTTTAATCAAAACATTATTTTTGCATCTGCGATGCATCCATTACACATTTTCCCTGTGTGTTAACGTCAGTAATTATGACTGTCGAATGTCTGACTTGACTCTTGGTGATGTATTTTGCCACCTGCCCCCAAACACATGAATCGACTATCAGTCGACTATCGGCAAGATTCAAAAATTCCGATTCGACTATGCAAATCCTTAGTCAGGGACACCCCTACATGGCACTATTAAAGAGTCTAAGCGCTGAAGTGTCACAGATCAGAGAGTCGATTCAGTTGTCCCAGACAGCTGTGGAACAGGGTCTGTCCTCACCAGGTTTCCGAAACTATGCCTCAGCTACCCACCCCGAATGCCCATTCCCTGGGTATTGGCCCAATTACAATCTAGGACAGAGAGGGAGAACAGCTCAGTTCCAGGGATTTGCACCATACCGTCTTTCCACCCAGACAAGAAGTCAACGAAGAAGTTGCTTCAACTGTCAGCAGTGTGACACTGACAATTATTGCACCCACTGCTATAGATGTGGAAGCAGTGAGCAATTTCTTTGCAGGCTGTAGAGCAAGGGCAGTAAACTCGTCCAGGGATGCTCATTTAAACGAGAGAGGGTTACTTCCACGGGACAGGGAGTAACCTGCCAAATGTTAGAGTCCCACCAATAATGCTCAGGGTGTGGGATGAAGGGCGGTGGCCATAATTTAAAAGTATGCACATCCTGCCACAAAGCTCTATATTGCTCCAAGTTATGTCAGGCTCGCCACTGGCGCAAACACAAGAAAGACTGCCACCTTTTATAAAGGTGTAAAAGAATTATGTGTCAAAATGATAACAAATTCAAACAAATCACTGAGTGTGGCCACTTTAGTGGGAAAACAGTGTCTCATTGACTGTTATATCCATGGAGTTAAAACAACAGCATTGTGGGATACAGGATCTCAAGTTTGTATCATTGATGAGTGGTGGAAAAATGAAATATTACCTGATGTGAGGTTGAGGCGGCTTTCTGAAATAATCGACGCACCTGACACACTTCAGATAATAGCAGCAAACGAACAAGATAGCCCTTACGTTGGGTGGATAGAAGTCATGTTTCGGTTGCCAGGAGAAAACGGTGACTGCATAGATTCTGTCATACCCATGCTGGTAACAAAGGGGAAACATCTCTCCCATCCCATCATTGGTTACAATGCTATTGAGTTCATAGTGACAAGCAGTACAGGTGAAAGTGCAGATCCAGCATGTGGGGAACAGTTCAAGAAAATAGTGAATATGGTTCTCCCCGATTTTAGAGATGTCACATTCAAGCTTTTATAGAACTTGTAAAAGCAGAAAAGTCACATGAATATGTGGTGAGGATTCCCAGTGAAAAGGTATTAATTCCCAAGCGTACCTCTTTGCAGGTTGAGTGCCGAATAAAGATGAGTCCACTGAAGGAGGACACCACTTTGATGTTTGAACCCGATCTTGATCCCAAATGGGCAGAAGGGCTAGAATATCAGGAAACACTTGTAAAGGTAAAGAGGGGTGCCCCACCATACATCATACTTGATGCTCGGTGTCCAACGGAGCATGACACTGTCCTGTGGGGAAGAACTGTCATAGGGACAGCACATGGTATACAAGCTGTTTATCCGCCCATGTCATTTGATCAGCTAAGTCATTCTAAACCTGCATCAGTGAATCCCATCCAAACAAGCAGTGTTGAGTTCGCCGGTGATGTCTGGAATCCTCCAGTTGATTTGAATCACCTGAGTCAGTCTGAAAAGAAAATAGTACACAAGATGTTACGAGAGGAATGTGCGTCATTCTCCAAGTCAGATGATGACATTGGGTGCATAGAAACTCTAACCCTGAAAATATCCCTAAAATACACAGTTCCTGTTGCACGTTCATACATCTCTGTGCCCAAACCACTCTATAGAGGGATGGAAGCCTCCGCCTTTGCGTCGATTACAGGGAGCTGAATAAGAAGACCCATCCTGTTCGTCACCCAATTTCTAGAGTCCAACATATCCTTGACAACCTGGGTGGTAATTCATGGTTCTCACTATTGATGAATGCTCCAGCTGCCTTTCAAAGGTGTATGGAGGAATGCTTGGAGAGCTTGAGTGACCAGATATGTGTGGCAGCTTAGATGGTACGGAATAAAATTGAAGCCAAGCAAATGTGGAATGTTCAAAAGGGAAATCCGCTACCTTGGAAGAATTGTGTCGGCTGAAGGTAGCAAAGTGGATCCAGCTGACACGGAGGCTGTGCGAGCTTGGAAGGAAAAGAGACCAAGTACCGTCAGGCAACTGCGAACTGTGATGGGCCTCTTAAATTACTACCGACAATATATTAAAGGGGTCATATGATGCGATTTAAATTTTTC